TGCGGCGGCTGCCGCCGATACTGCTGCAGCTACTGCTGCTGCTCTGCCCTCGTCGCTAGTAGTAGTAGTAGTAGTAGTAGAAGTAGTAGTAGAAGTAGTAGTAGTAGTAGTAGTAGTAGTAGTAGGGCGAGGAGGAGGAGTAGTAGAGGTCCAAACCCTGCATCCATGTCGCGGGCAGCCTCAGAAGCCTAGACCGTAAAGCCTAGAAAACCTTTTCTGACTCGATCAAGTGGCAGCTCTGGCGTGTATTTGCTTGGATCCGTGGCTTGGGAAGAGAAGTAGGGCTTCTCCTTGGCCAAACTTGTTTGCGGCGGTTCGGTGTTACAAGCAGGTCAAAGGCACACGGATGTGAGCTGAACCATCGGCAACTTGTTCGATAGGGTGTGCACTATGTCGGCCCAAGCTGCAGAAGTCGTTGCATGTTCCTGGCTTCTGGCTCACGTTTAGTTACTGGTCGAGCTCTCACCTTTTTGTTTCAATACTGTGGTTTCGCCCACCCAAACCAAGATGAGACAAGGCGAATGTTCAAACAGAATTGCTGCCGGCGTTTCCACGCGCCAAGCGTTGGTCAACACGATACGCCGCAAGCCGAGCTGTGCCAGCACGGACCACAGCCTCATCATAACCTGGCAGCTCGGTGTCAATTTGTGGCAATGTGACGGAAAGAGAACGTCTTTATCTTGCCCACAAGACGCTCAAAGATCTGCGTGGAAGCAACGAAACTGCTTGCTGCAATGACCTTCGCGTTCAATCGCCGTTCTCTTGGTCGGCAAGTGCTCGCATATCTATCCGTCGGAAGCAAAAGCTAAATTCTGGACCGAAGCCAAGCAGCCTTTGGACGAGGCATTGCTAGAAGCAGCTCCACGTGCGGCTGCGAAGGTGTAGCCGACAAGGAAAGCTGGCCAGCTGACTCCGAGCCAGCTGCGGCAGCCGGGCTCAATCGAACCTCACCTCTCTCCAGCACGACCACACTTGCACGCCCCACACCCACTCCCACGCAGCCCACGCGGATAGTGGAACCAGGGGTCGGCTTGAGAACAGTAACAATGTGCCGTGCACGACGGTCTGTGGCAGGTAGGAGGACGAAGCCAGTCTTGTTGATCTCTTCTACCTCTTGGCATAGGAGCAGCACCAAGTTCATCGCTGCATTAGGCCGCAGACAGCAATATGCTAACAGTTTCTGTGTCACTGGGTTGTTCCCGAGCATATCAATCAATTGAAGTTGCTATGCAATCTCGCACCACTTACCGAAGAAATGACTGCCAGCCTGCCCGTCCGAGGCAATGTGTGCATAGGGCATGCGTGACACATGGACTCGATGCTTCCAGCTGCAGCACAAAAAAGGATACAAATCTATCTGAGCTTCGAAAACAGGCTCTCGCATTGCGCTCGTCCCAAGAGAGGTTTGCACAGCTTGCTTGACTGCGCTTAGAACCATGATGACAAAACAATTTCAGAGAATCCCTCGAATTTATCATACCAAAAAACTCAAAATAGACCCAGGGTCCTTAGAGCACGAAAGACTGCAAACAAGTTTATGGGTTTGGGCTGAGGAGAACCGACATATAAGCTCAGCTGGCAGTCCTAGGAGCTGCGCGGGTGGTGCGCTGAGGGCTAATGCTTTGTATGGTCTTACAGCAGCATCCCATGTATGTGATGTATGCGTGTAGGCATGTATGTATGCACGTAAGTGTATGTACACATGTACACACACATATATATATATATATGTATGTATATATATATGTATACATACATATAGATAGACATGCCAGAATACATGTACACACACGTGCATATACAGATACAGACATTAACATCTATGACATACATACGTTCAAACAAGCATGCACGTGCAAGCGTGTAAGTGTGTCGGCTTTTCGGATACTTTCATGTCTTGTCCTTGGGGTCCACAAGCGGTTTGGCGATCAAAGGCGCCACACCTCCGGCGGGGCATGATTTCCACCTTAGTTTGTCATTTCCGGTTGATGCGGATGGTGGCGAGGTTTGGGCTTCGACTCGTCGATAAGATAATCACTTGTGCTTCCTTTTCCCCGGGAGCAAAAAGATTGCTGTGAGAAGTAAGATCGGAAGGACTACATAGAAGTGGCAACGGTATCAGTCCTGGGAGCAGCTGCGATGAAACTGACAGACTCTGGGTATGATCATGCAGGCCGTACCAGACGAAAGTGCTGCATCATTGTTGGAGATACACAACCTGACCCCATGAGTGCTGCGCTGCAGGCATGCCTCGGACACAACCTCACACCTTCAAGCGCCACAACTTTTGACCATGGAACCTGCACAGGATTCTGAGGCTAACGGAATCGAAGAAATCCTGAACCCTACACCCGAACTGAACCCTATAAAACTGAACCACGAACCAAAACTGAAAGCGTGGGCATTGCGTCACAAACCCTCGGCCATCCGAGTTCAGCAAGTCGCAGTCTGCAGCTATTTAATTCACGACTCAAACCCCCAACCTTAACCTCTAATAAGTTCCCTACACCCCACCTCCAACAATAAATCCTACCTAAATCCCTAGACCCTACAGACCTACCAAAAATCTCCAAACCTGGTCCCTCAGCTCGGGCTCTTCAGCAACTAAGGCACAGCCCGACGCGAGTCGCACGCGCATCAGTCTCCTCACCGTAAGGGTTTAAGGCAGGTAGGGCTTATAAGGATCCTACAAGCCCTAAGGCCCTATTTATAAACCCTAAGCTTTCTTTTCGGATTGTGGCGCGATAAATCCCAAGTGAGCCTAGGCCTTCTGTAAACCCATGTATGCCTTTTTTCGGTCTGATAGAGGTTAAGGGCTGTCGGGGGCGGACACAAGTAACCGAGGATAGATCGCATTATGCCAAACCATGCACTCCCCTCTAAGCGTCTTCTGCTCAGGTTAACCGCGACTCGCCCTGGACGGTCCCAGGCGGCCTTATTTGCGCATTCTTCCATAGTTTAGGGATATATTCGTTGACGGGAAATGGAACTTCTGAGTATGTCAGAGTGCTGCATGGGAATCCCGTCCAGCTTTGTGAAGAAGTCGTCGAACCGCACGTTCGGAGGAACCCGCAGGCGCCTGCTGTCGACAAATCGGATGGTGTAGGGCTAAAGCGCAATGGGGCTTCAACGAGTACTAACGTAACTCTAAACTCGATCTCGGCCAAGCGCAACAAGTTCTGTAACGCAATGCCCCACTAGCGCCTCGATGGGGTTCACATACAATGCCAACAAAAGCTACACTAGTAACTACCAGTAGTGTGCAAAACAATGCTTGCAAGCAGAAACTGCTCCACAGAGAGACAGTGCTCAACACCGAGAGCTACGCACTTAAAAGCCGCCTGAACAAGTTCACAAGAACCTGAAGTCGACAAAGCGGCATGCCTTGCGGCTCCCTTCTTTACCAACTCGCCGTTGATGAAGAGGCCATCGGTCGCCCTCGACCAGCTGTCACTGATCGTTTGATCAAGGCTTGACAGTTTCGAGCATCTGAAAACAAAAGCACGACACAGAAGTACACAGCAAAGGCAAACAACCGGTGCTACTGCTTACGCTCCTGCCGCGACCTTTGAGCCTCACCTGTAGCTCTTTTGATGAACACTGATACTGGACATCAACGAATACGGTCCTATGCTGTGCCAACAACAACTTGCAAAGCCAAGCGGTTCAGACAAGTATTTGTAAGCTTTGGGGCCCAGAGAGCTCCACGGAAAATTGTGTCTTGAGGTCGGGTGCAGCACTAGATGCCTGTAAACATATACGAGTTGTCGGCCATACTTGTCCGTGGGCTCCACGTCGAACTCGATCCGCACCTTGCTGCCCGGTGGTAGCCTCGACAGAAGGTCAACGATGTGACGCTTTGTGTGTCGACCCAAGCGCCATGCGGGCCTCATGGCTTTTAGGCTTGTAGCCACTATCTTTCGCGGGCTTCTGACTTGGCAGTTTTCATTGATTGATGAGACACTGGGAGGCAGGACTCATGGAGGTGCTAAGCAGAACAATGGTTGCACACTGGCTGGCACCCATCCCTGTCGTCAACTTCTTTTGGAAGATGATTGTTGCTTTGCCCTGTAACATACAAGTACATGATTTTGACTTCTCCTTGCCTACAGCCCGGACTAGGGATCGACTGTGTGACTGTGTGACCTCACATCATCAAGCCTAAAGGACTCGCGTGCAGTCTAGCCACAGGCCCTTCGTCAGAGCCGATGCCTCTGGCCCGTAGCAGTCGGGCGGGGCACCTTCCTTCTGCCTGTGCGACAACTGGTTGCGTGCTTCGCTCAGACTTGCTTACGACGGACCATGTGGGTACACATGCTCTTCATGGTATAAAAAGTAAAACAGGCTTTGCACAAGAGGTAGGCCGACGTCGAAGGACGTGGGTTTAGGCCGGCCGCATGAGAAAGACTTCAGATGCGGCGGTGCATATTGCCTCGCCTTGAAGATCGACTCTGCCATGCTTCATCCCAGACCAGTTGATCCGCACATGGACCAATGTGTCTCAAAACTCAAGACCAAAAAACATGAATCGCCCCAAACCCAGTTCTGGCTTCAGGTATTGCTGATGCGGGGTCCCCTGCCTCGGAGCCACCGTCTCTGGGGTGTTTACACCAATGAGTCGGCAGCGGCCAGCTTGCTTCAGCTTTACCTTCGGACGCAGCAGAAGATCTAGAGTTTAGCCTTTCTGTGGTATACCGTTTCCCAGCATAACGCAATGTACGGAGGTTCGGCATGTCCAGCACGAGTGCGGCCGAACCAATTTCCTGAAGCCATGAAGGATGTCTATTACTTCTGCTCTCGAAATTCATGTTTGGGGCTTGCATTGGTTGGGTTTCCTACAACGGCTCAGAGGCATTTCCAGCTCGGGGAGCTTGAGGTGAGGGAGTCTACGCCCTGTGCCTACTGGCACATAGTAAAGTTCAGATGGCATGAGATCACGGTATGATCTAAATCTGAACCTACAGCCCATAAACTCTCATCCCAAAGCTCCATAGACCCTAATCCTTCCACCGTAGACCGCCAGAAAGTCCTGCGGACGAGCTTGTCCTGGCTGTGAAATGCGAAGCTGGGGCTGCCATCAAGATACGGTGTCGCCATCAACGACATTCACCACCTCGTCTTCCTGCACCGCTTCTTTTCTGAGGGCTTCTTGGCGCTGCATTGCAAGCCAAGTCAAGCAAAGGGTTTGGGGTTCAGGCATTGGGTTGTGTAAACACTCGGGCGAAGTCTAGTAACTGTTGGCGTGTATGGCCAAGCTGAAAGTTCAAGACCTTCGACCCTACATGCACGTCCTTATCATTCACGTCGTTCTGATCTTCGCCCAGGAAACTTTCATCTCAAACTTCCTCTGCACAGCCTCTCTCTATTGTCCACACACACAGAACCACCTCCCGTTCCCGAACGTCGCGAACTCCCAAAGCGAGAGATTCTGCAATTCGGCATCTCGGTACTGCGGCATGTTCGTATACAGAATAACAAAGCAAGGGGTTTCCCTATGAAGCCGTATAATGCTCGATTTCGCAGCCACACAAAAGAAGATGCTAGCTTGAAGCTCCACAAAAATGCGCGGGCCCGTTGCAGTGGCCACTGTTAGAGCCATCGCACGACGCGGCCGTGCCAGCACAGTGCTGAAAGCCACGGCTACCTGGGTCATACCCAGAGACCACAAAGGATTGAGCTTCTCGCGGAGGCGGTGTTTTGCAGGTGTGAACCCGAGACCTTACCCGAAGCCTTTACGCAGGTATTCGAGACATCTCGATCCTACAGTAGAGGCGTCATACCCACGCAGTCATCTTCCCGTTACCTCTTGATCGCAGTCTTCTGTACTAAGTCGCAGATGGACCTCTCATCACGATAAGTCATAGTCACCCTAAAACCTAAACGAAGAAGCGTTTTAGGCGTTGGCTACTCCCGACTTGGGGCTTCACTCGTTTGCTGCAGATTTCGGTTAGACTTGGGATATGAAGGTCCTGAGACTCTGCTTTGGGGATCGGCGCCGTGCTGTATCATACTGAAAGCCCGACGCGCTGCGAACAAGCACCTGCTGACGACAGAAGACCAAGGAAACAGCGGCAAAGACCAGCTAGACTCAGGCAGACAGGACAGAAGTCCCCTAAACAAAAATCAACCAAACCACGCAAC